GCATTTTGTTAAGCTGCCAATAATTGGCAAGGAACTCATAGTCTGTCAGCTCAATTCATCGGCCGGGGTACAATAAGACTGGCATTGCTCAGTGACGTTAAACCCCATTCTCATTTAGCGGAAATTGCTCATGGCTGGCCAAAACCATCTCCTCTGTTAATATCAACACTCTAACGGAGGCCAAAAAAAAAGGATGTTTACTATTATGAACAATACAAAGACCTATTCAGGATAATACCCTAGTAGGAGACATGAATGGGCCTGAATCTATTGAAAAGCACCCAGCAGAACCAGGTGAATCACACTGGGGGGACTGCCCTTGCATTCTATTTTGGGCTGAAAGTATTGTCAGGTTCGTGGGCATCCCTCCCAATGCGGAAAAACTCGCAGACGCTCCAGACTGACTTCGCTTCCCCTGCCGGAAGAGTTTTGACTGGGCCGTACTCCATTGGCACACGCAGGCTAGCCGTCTGCCTTTCTCAGGCTACAGGGATTTCATCCCCAGCCCATCCTGACTCTTCTCTCCACCAGTTAATTAATCCTTAACACTTTTCACATGGCATTAAAGGCGAGCGGGAAGTGGTGAGAGAAGGAGAGAAGATGAAAGAGGCCGGTGTAGAGTTCGTTGAAGGCCATATTTAGAAGTTACAAGTTACCTTTGCAGGCCACTTCTCCAGTAATGACCCCTTATTTGATCCCACTTGTATCTAAAGAGCAAATCTGTAAAGCTAGTATGTATCTGATAATCTGATAGATGACTACTCAGAGTGAGAGACATAAAAAGAAAGAGACAAAGAGAACTCTTGACCTAGAGAAGATCTCCAGATCTTCACAGTCTGATCAGATCATGGTCTAACCCTGACCAGATTGTTATTGTTTAAACAGATATAGGCTGCCGTTGAACAGTCAAAAGCGACTACACATGTTGCATCACCAGCATGAGATTTTAAAAGCCAAGTCATGCCTGTAGAACAAGCCTTTGGTGTGCAATCAGTAGTGATAGCTGTCCATTTGTGGCCATCACTAGAGGCAAAGTGAGAAGCACAGCAAAGTACTAACAAAATACTAAATTAACAGCTTGGAAAAGCATCTTCCGTCACAACTGCAGACTTTGTGGGAACGTTTATTAGTTTTCAAAACTAAAATGTACAGTGCCATGCCAGCTTCATAGAAACACAACTGAAAGGTAGAATTGGTAGTGAGTATGTTATGTAAGTAGCATGTCTGATGGTTATTAGCAATAGTAACTTGTCTAAAGCAGTACAAAACTTTTAGCCTGATTTTATCCCAGACTTTCCCCTCCTGACAAAATTTTCAAGACTGGGTAAAATTTCCGGGCTTGTAAGTGACTGATAGTGTGGATGATTTGAAGTGTAAGAGGAGAAATGTTTGATTTTTAGGGCTCAGAATGTTACAGGCAGTATCCCATGAGACAGCAGACTGCAACAATGGCAGATTCTATGACATTCTTTGGAATTTTTGTCATGTACACTGTCAGTAAAGGTTCTGTGGAGGTACATTTTTCAATCATCAAGGGACAAACAATGTAAATGTACTCTCAAATGTACAACAGTGGTTTTAAGGTCTAACTATGTATCTTAAATAGGTTTTTCCCAGCTGAAAAGTACATATTTGTACCTTTTCAGAACCTGATGTTTTAAACCAGAACAATACAATAAAAAGCCTGTAGACAAGACAGGGTGTGTGGAGTCAGTACAGCACAGAAAATATAATTTCAATAGATTATGGTACAATTATTTTCCCTGACTAAAGGTGCTGGGATGTACCCTTGAGGACACCACCCCAGTGACAAGAGGGCTACTGCAGTTTATTTGTGTAGTATATGCACAGCCTAACTTCACCTAACATGACTTTGATAACCATTTGAGCATGCATTCCTAATATTCTCTGGAATGCTATTAGAGAGCTGTAAGTGATCTAGGGGTTTGCATTAAGCCTGCCTCCACTGAGCAAAGTGATTAGTGCTTAAAAAGATCAACGAGATATGCTGGAGCCAGGCCATTAATAGCTTTAAATGTCATAAGCAAGACATTGTAATCAATACAGAACTTAATATGAAAACAGTGTAAACTGAATAAGAGCAATATTGTACCATGATGGGCTACTGGGTGTGTCTTGCCTTCTGGTCTTGTAGTTGGCATGTATTGGCGTATCATATCACAGTCTTGTGTGATGCAGATGAATGCTGTTACAGGAGAAGGCATTAACCTATAAGAAGTTCTGAACATTGAGGCCATCTGGATCTTAACCGTATCGTTGCATTGCACTGCTTGGTGACCCGGTGAGGCCACTCCAGCCGGGTCACATTACCACTCTGCTATGGGCCTCTTGCTCGCAGAACCCCGCCGTGATTGACGCTTCCCTCCTCCGCCCTCAGCTCGGCCCCGTCCCACACTCACCGGCGGCCAGAGAGCGGCCTGTCAATTAGCAGCTAATGCAGGGTGCAGCTGAATGTCAAACCACGGTTTTCCCCTGCGGCCCGAGCGCGCATCAAACGTCCGTCTGTCCGCCTGCGGGACACGGCGGCTTGTTACTGAAAAGGGGGGGGGGAGAAACACCCAGCAGGAGAGAGGGACAGCTGAGGGGAGGCTGGCACATTAGTCACCAGCTCTCTATCGCTTCAGCTAACACAAAGAGACATCACAGTTCAATTGTTTTCAGGGCTAGGTTATATGAAAGTGATGGCGAGCAAGCTCAGTGGCATCACATCCTTTCTGGGCATGACCTCAGAGGGGCCTATTCTATAAAAGTACACATTATTTCATCACTGGTTACTTTATGTATCGTTTTTTCCATCTTTCTACCAAACTTCTTCTGATGTACAAAAGCTAAGAGTTCTTTGGAGTGATGCTATAGGATGACCACTTTGTAAAGGTTCTATACCAGTTCTATACCAGGCCTTTCCTAGAACTCTACATCCAAGCCAGGAACTTTCGAAGAACCTTTCTTCTTAAGAGCATAGGAAACTGTAGAAGTGAATCAGGGAAAGTTCCCCCTACAAATATCAAACAGTATCCACATCAACTTTAACTATGCATGAATATGGGGCCATTACTCCAAATATTTAGCCAACGTTGATTTGAATCAGACTCGAAGCTGTAGGAACACATTCGAACGTCTGTTCAACTTTTCCTTCACCTCCGTCACTTAAGCTGACCAGAATCTCACTTGAGTTCCTTCTTCCCTCGGCAGCCACCCGCTCCGTTTCCCCCAGTAACCCAATCATCATTTCATAAGAGCCCTATCACCTTTTAAAAATAACAGTCATTACCTCTCCCAAGGCTAGTCAGACAAAGAGTCCCCTGGATATAATTAGTCATCTGTCAACAGCCATCAGTCTCTCCTGACTGAGAGCCGTGTCAAACATTACCTCCCGATCTCAAAGCCCATGCGCGCCTGCCAAACGTATGGATTTCAATGACGCTGCCAGAGCCCAAGTTTGCCAAAAAATATTTAAGGACTTTTCTAAGGAAATTAATGTCACACCCAATCAATCATGATTAGCCGGAGGGAATCGTGCTCGAGGTTATTGACATGTAAGAAAATTTCAGCTTTTAAAAATGAGAAGCATGCCAACTTATAAATGTCTGGAATTATAAGATGAGTGGTAGGCAGCCAAGACACACTGTCTTTTGTCTGATGGTATACTATTTTAATGGTCCCTTGCTCCGGAATGTTTTTTGAATTAGTCATACTAAAGTCAATGTCCTCCTCTAGTGGTGGGAATGGGGCAGTACAATGGATCCAAGCACTAGAGAGACTTCAATGCTTTTCCTCATAGTGCATATCTCAGAATGTCATTTTTTTTCCAATCATAAGTACCTGCTGCATAAATGTGCTTTGACTTTGGGGTCAGTTATCTATAGGTTCAAGTCACGGAGAGATATTATTGAACAGCACAGAATCTCCTGGGCCCAAACTAGAATCCACTCTGGAATTCCATCCACAGCAGCTATTAAATCTGATGGAATTACACTACCGTTCAAGAGTTTGGAATTGATGTTTTCAATAATATAAAACCAATTTGCAGATAAACGTGTACAGTGATTCGAATATGTTAATCCTGTGCAACTTCACAGGTTTCAAAAAATTAGCAGGACACTTGTAAATAAAAATGAGGAAATCTTTGATGTCTCTGGAATGATGAATGCAATTGTAGCAGATTTTGAAATGATTGAGAAATCTGTATTACTAAGTTACAACAGAATGAATATCCCAAATCCATCATATGTTTATCATATTGATTGTGGATTACCTGAATCTCGAGAAGCAGAACGCAAGCAACTTCTAAGACTGAACTTCAGAAGTGTGGACAAATCTTCTGGCAGGTTTCTTTGAAAACCTGAAAGTAAGTCTCCTGAAAAGAATAGAAACTGTACTAAGTCACAGGATGGACACACTAAATACTAATTAATTGTAGTTAATTGTAGTTAATTGTAGTTACCAATCAAAGCCTGTTTTGGCTCAGTACTCCATTATATTAATTCTTGTTACTTTTTACTGTATTTATTTTTGTTTGTATTTAAATATATGGTGTTTTTAGAACACATGTACTGCTAAATAATGTGTTTAGTTGTCTAAGACTTTTGTACTTTTGCACAGTACTATGTGTTTTCAGCTTTTTTGCTTGTATCTCCATTTTTGTAAATCTATCTATCTATCTATGTATCTAGCTAGCTAGCTATACATATATATCTATGTGTGTGTGTGTATGTGTGTGCAGCTGGAACATAACGTCTCTGTTTTTGTTGTTTTTCACTAAATTTGAAAATACCTGTTGGCCTTTACACTGTGTCCCCATTTCATAATGAATGAACCAGAAGAAAAATACTTGGAACAAAGTCTGGTTCCATTGACTTAAATTAAAAGGAAAGTGTATATATATATATATATATATATATATATATATATATATAGACTCTATGCATGATAATCAATTTTATTAAACATTTCTCTGAAAGGAATCAAGAGGAAGACAGTTGAGAATTGAAAGCTAGTATATTTTCAAACAAGGTGCCTGCATATTCCAACAGCTGCAGCAACAGCATTGTGAGGTATTATTTTGTTCATACTTAGAGAGGCACTGAATATGGTGTTGGTATGATATGGCTCTGCTCAAAGCGCCTGAATTCATATAGGATTCCTGAGCAGAAACAAGGTCAGAATATACAAGCTTCAGCAGGAAAATCACTTCCTTTTACATTGCACATTCACATTATACACATACACATTTCAATATTCCATTCGCTATACATTTTCAGTTTCAGTGAGATGTGCCTATGATTAATATGTCTCACAAATATACTCTCAGTTAAATATTATACAAAGCAGCATGAAGGAGTTTGGCAAAGTAAATGCATAACCTTCCAGCCCAGTATGGTAAGGCATATCTCCCTCCATGTATCTATAAAGAGTTCAGCAATACATCATGAACATCAAATCAACTCTCCTTATCTTTGCAAAAGTGTGTCAAGTAGTGTTGTTGAAAATACTCATACATATCAATACATATAGATATTGAACATTTGAACAGATACCAAAACTCATTTCCCACAGTATTGATATTATATACACTGTAACTACTATTTTGTTGATTTTCTAAGTGAAAATCTAAGTGACAAATGTCCTCTACAGAGAAGATACCTAAATTTTTCTGCAAACTGTAGTGCACGATTTCTATTTATTTGCTGAATTTAACATATAAAATGTGCCATGACTTTTGCAAAAGCAATATTTGATATTTTGTTTTGTTTTAGGGTTTTTTCCAGTAGAAAGTTTTCACTTAGAAAATCAAAAAAACATGTACTTGGATCTCATTGTCAACAAAATGAAAAAAGTTCTTGTTGATAGGTCAGCAAAGGTTGGTGCTCTGGAGGTTAATTTGGTCACATTTATTTCCTCTATTGTTGGCTGTTGTTTTAGATAATCTCATTTGGTGTGGTCAGTCATTTTTTTTTTAACTCAGCATGACTGGCCATTATTGGAGAACACCCTTCCAGTGCCATTGAAAATGGTATGGAATATAGATACTTCAACTACTTCAAAGAGTTTCATCGAAAACTGTAAATTCCAGTATCCTGACAGCACTAGAGCTACTAATCATCTCTAAATAGATCAGTCTAAACTGCGTTCATATTCATCTTCCATTTGCATTAGAACTCCACAATGTATCTGCATGGTAAATGCTGCTACTTTGGAATGTCAATCAAACTAGGTAGACTGATATGTTTGTGCTTATATGTTCATAAACAAGTGGAAGAAGTCATATTGTGCGGCTTATTTGCCTTTACGCAGATGCCATGCACTGCAGAGGCTAAAAACCTCACAAATACAGTGGGGTCCAAAAGTCTGAAGCCTCACTGAACATCTGGGATTTTTTTATTTAAGCTTTCAGAAGTTCATAAGGTTTTATAATAAAAAAATCATAACAAAAAAAAGGTATGAGAAGTAAAACGAAGAGGAAACATTTAAGATTCTGCCCTCTCTCTGGATCACTGTTCAAATGTAAGCAAATTTGTGACATAAACTATGTTGAGGCCTTTGGACAAAAAAGGCCATGTCGTTTTTTTTTTTTAGTCTCATCTCTTCATCATCTTAAAAAAATGGTTCTTCAACTTTTTTTTGTAAATGGTTCCTCAGATTGATGGAGAATGTGTTGTATATGGTTCTATATAGCACCAATAAGTGTTCTGTTTTGTTACAAGCTTGACATTGGAACAATAGCAGAACCCTTTTTGGTGCTATATAGAAGCATTTTCAAAAAGGTTCTATACAGAACCATCTACAACACATTCTCCATCAATCTGAAGAACGATTTCACCATCTCTTCCTGTGCTATTTCAAAAGAAAAAAATCTAGAAGATTAATTTGCTTACATAGTTGCCAAATACGTGAACACTGCACGATTTGACCATCTGACTAACAACTGGTAAATGTTAAACAGTGTTGTTGATTAGGACAAGGGAGCTGGTTAGCATTCACTTAGCTAGCAAGATAACAGCCCTGCTCACCACAGAACATGTTCAATTCTGGCTAACTAAAACATCAACATAGCTGATTCAAATATGAGCAGGTGAACTCAAGCAACTGGCGTCAATAGCGCAGAAAAACTAAATGAAACCTGTTTCATGGTGTGTGGATTTGTAGCTTGATTGACTAGCTTAACATGAGCTTAGCAAGCAGGCAAGAGACCCAAACTGTGCCACACACCACAATACAAGGATAGCTGCTAAGTTTAGATGACAGAACTGATGTCTGAGAGAACAAAAGTCGAGTGACTGGTGTTGGAGTGACAGAAATCTGAAGCTGAGACTGTTTTGTCGTTTTTGGGACTGTAGCATTTTGGCTAAGCCAAAAAGAGCTTAGCTAGCTCGCTAACTGTGCCATACCACAGCACAGGCTGGGTCGCAGCTAACTGACGCTAAAATGACTTCCATTTAGAGGATATCTGAGAGTGCAAGGTCAAGTGACTGACGTTGGAATGAAAGCCAAAATCAGACCTGTTCTGTGTGGTGTGTAGCTCTTTGCTGTTGCACGTTTATTTCTGAGGTTTTTCCAGGCTGTGATTTTTCCCCTTTTTCTAGCAGCACTTCCTATCAATGAGCTCCCAGACCACCAATCAGTGGATGGAATGCAAATTTGACATGCCAAAATTTTGAAATAATTATTACTGTTAAAGCACCCAATCCTACTATTGATCTCAGACTTTTGGACCCCACATATATTAGCTTATAGAACCTAGAAAAAACCAATAGCAGCTTTATAGTCCAAGTCAATGAGCTAAAAATTAGTAATAAAAATCACACTTAAGAAAACAAGCAAGGCCGCTGTAAATGGAAGTTCTAATACGTCTTTAAATGCTGTGGCTATTCATGCTTTTCACTGCCGACCACAATTGAGATGTTTATTATTTACCATTAGTATCTATGCTACATAAGTGAAGCATGCTATGTTAGCTTTGGCACTCAAAATGAACAACAGCGGTCGCTGTAACTACTATTTTTTTTTGATCTTGTTAAAAACTTCACCCTGTTTCTTATTTCAGATAATGTTTGGTAATTATGAAGATTTTCCCTTCTGTTGGGTTTCAGAAAGAGCAAGAAGTGGAAAGAAAACTCGGAGATTGTCCTTCTCTAGTTGTCTCCAGGTGCTATTTCTTATGACATGTCACGAACGACTCAACCACATATGCTAATGTTGCTAATAATTAATGGAAGCTAGTATTCACCAACCAGCATGAGGTCATTTTCATAATGCTAACTTTTGGCTAGTTGCTTTCACTTACTGTTAGCAACATTTAGCATCAGGCTATTAACTAAACCATTCCTTTCACTTTCTATCAACCCCATTAATCCCCAGCAAGCCTGGAGAGATCTTACTTATGACACAAAATACATTCATTTTGGTATGTATAAAGATATTAATGATTAATGATTAATAAGTACATCTATTTCTTTACACCTTTCACTGCACACTTAAACCCACACTTAAACTTCCAAAGTAATCTACTAAACATCCACAAACATCTGCACAGTATTTGAGCACTTCCAAAACTTGCTTAAGTATCATTCTCTATTTGAAACAATTGCCATAACTTATACTGTGCTATTCATACTGAGCACAGTACTGTAGCCTGAACATGTGCCTTTTATGGGTTTTCTGACTGTAAAACTGCTGCATACTCAAGCATGTGGATTAAAGATGAAAAGCTAAAACAAAAAGTCACTTTTTGTTTCTGGATTTAAGCTACTGATGCGAATGGACTGCATTCAGCCTCTTCCTTTAAGATGCACTGCTAGCCCATTTTCAGTTCCTGTCAGGAATTCCTTAACAAATATCAAGTGAAATACTAGTTGAATTGTACACAAAATGAGGCAATGATTTGGCCAATTCAAACTTTTCTACCTTTTCCTAAAACTCCTCAATTAGTGTGTATTTTGGGCCAGTGTCTTGCCACATAGAGCACCCACAAAGCAAATTACTGGCTACCAAGTGCTTTGGAGGTATAAGCTTCAATACAGTATGTTCAATGCAGTATGTCTTCCTATGATAAATGTTTGATTTCAATTATTCAGATGTTCCATTGAGTTACTGCAGGTATAGTATACACTACTAAATGCTACTGTTCACACTAATTCACATTCATTCGTCCTCGTTCTCAGCTACAGTGTAATGGACTGGACCAAAAAGTGCTATAAGGCCCTAATCCAAATAACAAAACATTTAGAAATATCCAGAAATTAATTCTGTAGCTACCAACATATATCGAATGGCCAATAATATTGGCTGATTCCGACAATTCACAAGTTGACAACCAAAAAATAAATGTTTAACTGTTTAACAAAACCTACTGGAGTCTGTTACATTTTTGACCATATAAGATTATACCAGCTGAAATGTTTAGCTCAGCATCAGTATCAGTCAGACCCTAATATTCAACTTTTCATGCTTAATCCCAGTAAGCTGAGTACACTGCAAGAACAAAAATCACTTTTTGAGTTCATATCATCATCTCACACTTGTGAAGGGCTCAGAATATTCCAATCAGCATTGTTCAGTACTGAGGCGAGTTTTCTGTATTGTTGTTTATACACTCTTAAAAATATAGGTACCATAAAGGGTTCTTTAGGGAACCAAAAGCGGTTCCTCTATGGCATCGCTCCAAAGAAGCCTTTTTGGGACCTTTATCTTTGAGTATAAATTGTTGCATAAAGTCTTAAACAGCCTCTAACAGACACTGCAAGAGTTAGAGAAACGGAGAGCAAGGCTGGCTACAGATTTCACTGCACAGGTTGAGACCTTATGGCAGGTTCCTGCATTGGAGATGTAGCTGGAGGCCAATCGGTGGAGCCTTTTGGCCCCGAAGGTGTTATAGTGACCAGGCATGACCAGCTCCACTTCTTCTTTGTCCACCATCTCGACCAGCCTCTCACAGCTGCGGACATAGTCACCAATGGCACTGTAAGGCAGCCAGTCGATCATGGAGCCGTCATAGACCACGTCGCCGCTGAAGAGCATCTTGTTGTCCTTGTCGTGGAGGCAGATGCTTCCTCTGGAGTGGCCCGGCATGTGGAGCACCGTGAGCTGCCGGTCCCCAAGGTTGATGACATCACCTGAGAATGAAATAACAACAGGAGGGGAGTGTAGCAACTGGATATTGCAACTGCACTGCAGCAATGACACAGCATAAGCCGCATTGACCGATGCACAAATTATACGGGAGAGAGAGAATTCGGTGATTTGTTTTCTTAGGAAGCTGGGACATGGGATTGCTTGTATACTCTACATTTGTGGAGTATAAATTGTCTTAATACACTGAGGCCCAAGTATCAATATTTAATTACTCCATTATGAATATCTATTGTGTTTATTGTTATTCAGTGGCGAATAGTGACTATTAAAGCTGGGCCTTCAGTTAGGCCATAAATGTCAAAACTCTGTCAAAAATAAGCAGATAACAGTGATACAACAATGCTAGTTTCTGCTAGCACCCATATGGGATTCTAGTATTTTGGTAGCAAGGAACTAATGACAATTCCAATGACCTGAAATGGACAAAACATTTCATTGTTTTCTCTGCATACATTGTTGTCTCTCCCATCTGTATTTCCTCTTTTTCAGTCAGGTGATAAAAATATGGAATGCAAACATCATCATGCCAACCAATCAATAACACAATTTTTTGTCAACAACTTCCTGTTTATTGATGTTATAATTATACAGGTGTGTTAATATTTGTTGTAGTCCTACTATATTTTACCATAGCAGTTTTAATGACTTTTTCAGTAAAGAGCTCTGACACAGAGCTGCTGCCACTGTTTTCCATTTCTTCTTCTTTTTTTTTGACACTTTAGTGTTTACTGAGATTTTTCCCAATACACATACAATAAAGGAATGTCACAATCAGAAAAACATCAACAAGGGGAGGAAGGGGAACGAAGGGAAAAAAGGTTGTCTGTGGTTACAGAAATTCATGTCCATTTATCCCTATGTGTTTCTATGGTGTCAAATGTCATCCTTTTTTTTACCACCTGTTCACAAATGCGTTTTCTTATACCCTAAGCTGGTAAGTCATTTTTCAATATAGCTTCTGTCAGGATACTATGGGTAAAGTGCACAGAATTAAAAAGCTAAAAACAAATTGTTTGGCAACCCCATCACAGGCTTTGCATGATGGATATAGTGCTCACAATCCATCCAATATATGAGTAGATATATCACTAAAATTGAAAAAAAAAACAAAACATCAGAGTATGTGAATATCACGGCATAGAAAATATATCGCCCAGTGCCAGGGGCATAGCTAGAGCTTTTACAATGTGGTCGCAAGCCCGGATTTTATTAGGGTAGCACACTGCTTTACTGTATTAAAACGACATAAATTGATGTGTTGGTTTATCTCTGTACATAACTAGATCTGTCCATCATTTCCACATGAATAAGTTATTACAGCAATACAACTACTGTCCCAAAAATGGTAAGTTTACAGGAGAGGGTAAAAACCTTCATTACTTTCAGTGTAAGTTAATGTAAAGAGATTTTATTCTATGCTATTCTGGAACATTTCTACTGGTCCATTCATCATGCTGCTGTGCTCAAATGACATAGAAATGTAAAAAAAATGGAGATACATGTTTTTTTTGGGGCAGTGATGATTTGAATCAAGTAAATTATATGCATTGCTTTTTTTCAGTGCACAAGGTCAACTTTAAGAAAACCATTTTACATAGACAGGCCATAGAAGGTATTCATTTAGGTTGCATTCTGAGGTTATACATGAGTCTAATGATCAGACAGCACTGTATAAGGTAGCCTGCAACACATGCATGTATTCTGCAACTGTAACTGTACTAGAAATTAGATAGCATGATAAATGATTCTAGCTGACTCATTTTTGATAGTTAATGGGTCTTACCACTGAATAGCCTACTTCACAATGTAGCTCCCTGAGCAGCACTGCTGAAGGTACATAGTGCACATTCACTTGGCTACGCCTCTGCCCAGCACAAATGAGGGTTCAGGCTTGCAATGTAATATGAACGCTTGCATGGATGTGCTGCCCATCTTGTGGTATTACTGTGTTGCCTACCCTCTCAAGACAATTCAGGCAGATAAGTAAATCAGGTTAGGCAGTAGGCTTGGTTCTCTAACCACAGACATACTCCACTTAAGACCAGCATAATCTGATTGAGTTCGATTCTTCTCCAGATCATACAAGGGGGGTCAGAATGAAGTCATGCCGCATTCCATGTTGTCCACAGCAACACAGCTATCTCAGTTTGCCAGTGCCGGTCTAGGAACAGGCCTGCACTGCACATTTTCTGTTCTCCCAGCTCTAACACTCGTATTTACAATCATTAAAGGGGAACTCCTATAACTTTTCAAAAATTCTACATAATTAAACAGTTAAAATCTACACAAAGCCATTCAGAGTGGTCTGATGTGAAATGCTCTGTTCTAGAGAAACGTACAGAATCAGAATTGTTTACAGTGGCGGTGATAGGAACCACATGTCTGAAGAGTTTAAGAAAGTTATTATATGAAATGGTTAGATATACAGTGCCTGATATCTGAAACATTCTTTTATGATAATTTGGTTATGAAGTTTTGGCTTCAAATGTATTTTAATCCATTCATGGTCCAGAAATACATGCATGTTGTAGTAAGGCTATATAGTCCCTGGAGGGGGAAGAAGGAGGGGAAAAAAAAAAACAACCTTTTTTCAGATTTATGACTATTTTACTATTGTTAACATTACAATATAAAATAAAACGGCTATATTTGTGCTGTAGACATTGTGACCCCTGGTTCCTATCACCACCACTGTAAAAAAAAATCAGAGTCTGTAAGTTTATCTACAATGAACCACCTTATGTCAAACCACTCTGAATGACTGTTTACATCTCAAGGACTGAATTATTCAGTATTTTGAAAAAAATGGTGGAATTCCCCTTTAAGAGTTTATTAATAAGCTGATGAGTAAAGTCAGGCGTTTTGAGAGCAGGAAAAACATTAAAATGTCCACTACAGGGTCAGAATCAGACGGCTAAATCTGATCCCAGGGCTGTTAGGCACTAGACGAGCACAGGATACATAAAATACAGATGAAGAACAGCAGACCTGCTTGCCTCACTGTCTGTCTGCCGCTACTCACCCTCCTGTAATATGTGGGTGGGCTGAACAGCCTTCACTCTGTACTGCCTGGCCGTCCAACCAGGTGACGGGTTCTCCACGATCTCCCGATCGGACAGCCATGTCACCGTCTCAAAGTTGTCTCCATTGGCCAGGGCATCGACCTCGGCCTTGTGCACGCCCACTTGTTGAAACTGGTGCAGGCCGCCCGAGTGATCGAAGTGGACGTGCGTGCCGATGGCCAGCAAGGGGTTCTTCCGCTTCGTGTCGTCGCCCAGCAGGCCTTTGGAGCTGATGTAGTCCGGCAGGCTCCGCAAACCCAGGCCGGCGTCTATCACCACGTCCTGGTGAGATCCGCGAATGAGCCAGATGTTGGCCCTGTTCCCCGATTCGTAAAAGCGCTCTTGGATCCAAAACACGCCGTTGTCGAGCGTTTTGTGCGCGTACCACTCCATCACAGACACCCCGGTGCACACACGTACACGTCGGTACGAAAAAAACGACTTAGCAACTGAGAAACCCGGATTTTCGAGCACAAATCCCGCAACCGAGCTCTGCAGACATTTGCAAACAGGGCAACGGCTAACGCCCCTTTCCGCAGGCAGCGCAGATTGGAAGACGTGTTTGGGTGACGTCAGCGTGAACTGCAATGCAATTGGTTAAAAATAAAATAAGCACCGCCCATATGGCTGCTTTTCTATAAAAGCCACCAAACGCGCTCAGTCGTGTCGCGTGTTTAGGTTCTGTGGCGTTTGGAAGTGGTTTGGTAAAAACATATTTTTGTGGCAGGTTTCATGATGTTGTGTTCACCTGTCGTTGATAAAAAAGGATAATCTGAATTTCGTAAACCATTTTCTGAAAAATATCTTCTGGAAAGTCCGGCTAAACCAGTATGGCAGGGAAAGGCAGGGGTATAGCAGCTTTTACCTTCAACATAGAGGCGCTGGGACTCAGCAGAGGATCCATGCCTGAGACTCAGCGAGGCCCACAGCCAATGTTTCCTGTGAGTCCTTTAGAAAGTCGTGTCCTTAACAGCTCATGTTGTTTATCATGATAAATTTGGCCTCTGAAGAGTCAAGCTGGATGCTAACATTATGATGTGCTGAATGGTGTCCAGCACAGTTTGGTCATTTCTCTGCCCAAATGCACCTATTAACTATGGAAGCCTGTTTCTGCCACTGAAAAAAAATAAATGGGCATTCAGTGAGTCTTAATAATGAGAAGTTTTCCATAATTATGGCTTAGATCAGTTCAGTTATGTTCAGTATCTCTGCTCAGGATCTTTATGTGGCCACATGCATGACACATCATGCAGCACGTAATATCTCTTCTACAGCAAATCGAATTCAAACCAGTGCCTCTAAAGGCTGGCGAGGATGAAGACTACATGCTGGCTTTAAAACAAGAGATCAGAGGGAAAATGAAAGGCCTGCCTTTCAATATAAAGCCCCCCTCAGGCAAGAACGGTGAGCGGTGTGCTCTTGTAGATTTAATCACAGTAAGCTGTAGTGTGTGATGGCTTTCAGCTGCAAGATTAGTTAACAATAACAGCAGGCCATGAGGTGTAAAATCACTTCTGGGAGTGGTTGGATTCTTGCAGTGCTCTAAAAGGGGAATTCTACGATTTGTCACATATATAGCAGAATTAAATGGTTAAGATGCAAACAAAGTCATTGAGAGTGATTTGATGCGAGGTTCTGTTGTAGAGAAAATCACTGTGGGGATCAGGTTGATTTACCTGCTCAAACACACCTGATGGGACTGTTAATTGCCAGATTTAGTGGGTGTGTTTGAGTAGGGAAACCTCCAAACCGTGCTGGACACCAGCCCTGCAGGACTGGAGTTGTGCCCCCCTCTGGTTATCGCCACCACTGTGAAAAATTATGACTTAGTGTAGATTGGTGTGTTTCACATCAACCCACTCTGAGTGACTTTATTTACATCTTAACCATTTGATTATACAGAAATTTTGGAAAAAAATGGAGGTCCTCTTTAAAGCTACACCATTTGGACAAAAGTATTGGGACACCCCTCCTAGTTATTGAGTTTAGATGTTTCAGCCACACTTCTTGCTAACAGGTAGATAAAATTAAGCACATAGCCTTACAGTCTTGATAGACAAACACTGGCAGTAGAATAGATTGTACTGATGAGCTCAGTGACTTTACACATGGAACTGTCATAGGATGCCACCTCTGCTACAAGTCAGTTTGTGAAATTTCTGTCCCGGTCAACTGTAAGTGCTATAAGTGTGAAATGGAAGCATCTAGAAGCAACAGCAGCTAAGCCACGGAGGGCTAGACTGTGCAAATTGCCTCTGTAAACAACATTAGCAAAAGAACTGTACATTAAGAGCTTCATGATGTGGGTTTCCATGGTCAAGCAGCTACATGCAAGCCTGATGGACGAGTCTGGGTTTGGCGAATGCCATGAGAACGTTACTTGCCTGACTGCGTTGTGCCAGCTGTAAAGTTTGGTGGAGGAAGAATAATGCTATGGGGTTGTTTTTCAGGGGTTGGCCAAGACCCCTTAGATCCAGTGGAAGGGATATCTTAATGCTTCAGCATACCAAAATGTTTTGGACAACTGTATGCTTCCAACTTTGTGGGAACAGTTTGGGGAAGGCCCTTTTCTGTTCCAGTATGACTGTGCCCCAGTGCACAAAGCCAGGTCCATAAAGACATGGCTGGGTGAGTTTGGTGTGGAAGAACTTGACTGGCCCACACAGAGCCCTGACCTCAACCCCATAGAACACCTTTGGGATGAACTAGAACAGAGATTGAGAGCCAGGCCCTCTCGTCCAACATCGGAGTCTGATCTCATAAATGCTCTTCTGGATGAATGGGTGAAAATTCCCACAGACACACTCCAAAATCTTGTAGAAAGCTTCCCAGAAGAGTGGAAGCTGTAATAGCTGCAAAGGGGGGGACCAGGTCCATATTAATGTCTATGGATTTAGAGTGGGATGTCATGAAAGCTCCTGTAGGTGTAATGTGTAGGTGTCCCAATACTTTTGTCCATATAGTGTACCTCACCAAAATGTTAGATATGTTGCCTTATGTTTGTGACATTGTTTTATGCTAGTTTTGAGACAATTTTGGCATAAAATATTTTTTTTTAATCCAGAGAATTCCTCTTTAAGTGAAGATGATTCCAAGTTTTTTTTCTTTGTACTTTATAAAGTCAGTCAAAGGTGTTGGTCATTGTGTTTACTTGCTCACAGATGTTGAACGGTATAAAGAAAAATACATAAGGGAATGCCGTAAAATTGAGGATGAAGAATGGACACCAGGTAAGATTGCCGCCTTAAGCAAACCAGATTTATCAAAGACAGATTTTATAAAAACCTATTAAGTCTAAATGTTTTTTACAGACTGGAACCGTCTTCCAAAGGAACTAATGCCCCAGAAGAAAAAAATAAGAAAGAAAATTGGTAAATATACTACTTAATATTTTCAGTGCAAATTTCTGCATTTTGTCATTGCCAAATAACATAAATTCCCAGACTGTAAGAAATCCACAAAAGTCTCAAGCAAAGATAAGGAGGCTTTGCTCTCTAAACTGGATGTAAGTTTTCTTTTTTCCCCTCTAAGCCATATTTAGACATTTTATACCAAAGCTAGAATTAATTTCAGTTGGATTTGGTCTGTTTTAAAGGAGCTTGAGAAGAGGGGTGATGACAAATCAGATGAGGAGAAAGAGGAAAAAAAGAAAGGTGAAGAGGATGAGGAAGAGGAAGTTGAAGGAGAGGAGTATGAAGAAGAAGAGCTTGAAGAGGTAAAAGCTCAACTGTATCTGTCTGAAGCTGGCTTATGGTGAAGGCAACAGTTCACATTATGTTGCCTAGAATGTTTCAAATAGTAGGGACAAGAATTGTGTAGGTGTGACTAGCGGGACACATTTGTTTTATGCACTATAACTGCTATGCTAGAGATTTTAAGAGGCAATCTGCTGTAAAACTAGCATCTGATGTTATGTCATGTTATTTAATGTTCTGTAGTGCAGCATTGCACCTCACTACCTCAGTGGTTTGACACAATTCGCAATTTTGTATCCTTTGGTTTTTAATCTCTGTTCGCTCACTAAAAAAAACCCACTGAAGTAGAGGCGAATAAATAGAGATGTAATATCCGGCCTCCTCAAAGTAACACTAGCTATTTGGCTTCCTTTTGCATTGGCCAGCTAGTGGGTGGGTTTGACACAGTGGTTTGACACAATGGTTTGACACAAGTCAAGATTTTGTAACCTTTGGTTTTATCAGTGTTCTCTCACTGCAATTCCCAGCATGCATTCTGTAAATAGGTTAGACGACCATTATGAATCCGCCTATGGCGAAAGACTCTGAAGTTGAGGCTAATAAGTATAGACGTAATATTTGGCCTCCTCAAAGTTACACTAGCTATCTGGCTTCCTTCTGCATTAGCCAGCTGGTGGGGGAATCAAATAGCCTGCCTCCAGAAATCCACCCCAATGCAAATGCAGTTTTTCAAAAGTTCCTCCCACCTTCAAGATGTCTCATCAGAAGGGGGTTTGCTAGTCTTTAAACTAGGGGGGAAAACGCACTGGAGGTAAGCAGACATACATACGACAAATATAGTGATGGTTAACCTTTTCTTTTTGGCTAGTGATGCAGTGATGAAAGCCTTTGCAAAATCTAATCTGCAAGTGACTGCGTGTTGGAACATATTGGTCCCTTTCAGATTAATGTGTTCTGACATGTTGGTGAATTTGGATTTCTTTGCCTTCCTTTCCAGGAAAATGACTACATAGCAAACTACTTTGAAGATGGTGATGATTACGGAGCCGGCAGTGATGACAATATGGATGAAGCCACATACTGATTTGTAATGATTGCTCTGAAACTCAATGTTCTTTTTGTTCCTCACATCAAAAGGGGAAGTGATTATTTATGTTCTTTGCTACCTGCAAGTAAAATATTAACAAACAAACAAGATTTGGAGATTCGGGTACTAAAATATAGTTCATTTATTTTCAAACTGCAACTACGGTCTAAAGGCCGAAGGCACGTACTGCTCAAATTTGTCATTTAACAAAACTCTCATGGTCAAGAGAAAATATTACAACTTGAATTTCCACTTCAGTATTTAAGAACCGTTCACATCACTGTGTCCTGGTAAGAGTTAAATAAGGAGTTCACAACTGTAGGCAGACAGCTTTCCAAGCAATGTTAAAAAGAAAACATTAGCAACATTAACACTGATTGTAACCATTTCCATCCTCTAAAATAAATTAGTGTGCACGTGTGTATATCCCTGACACCAAGACAGAGACATCAGCCGTCTCCAAGTTACATTTTGATTAAATCAGTTGTTTACTGTTAAAGCAAACACGTAAGTTATGTAGCTATGTCAGCCCATGTGAAGGGGAAACTGTGCAAAATGCAAGACAACTGCCTGTGGGAACTGAGCCAGATGAATCTAGTTCAAACCTTATGCCAGAGCAGTGCCAAGTTCAATACATGGCACTATTTGCTTAATTAAGTCCATCTATGGCATTATAAGTTGAAACTAGTGTCCACAGCCTATAATCATTCCTCATATTAAAGGATGAGTTCAACTGTTTTGAACCAAACACTAAACTGTCATTACTCTGACATGGATTGGGTAATGCCTCAAATTGAAAACTGTAGCCTTAAGCCAATAATTATTCCCATCTCAGCTGTCTGTAGAGACTTTAAATTACTGACTTAAACTAATCTATTAATTACACTGACGCACTGACAATAGCCGAGATTCAATTCACCTTCCCGACTCTTCTGTCTTCTAAATGGGAATTCCGCCCTTTTTTAAATTTCTGCATAAAGAAATCATTCAGTGTGGTTTGATGTGAAAAGCTCCATTCAAACTTAGTCAGACTTGTCCACAGTGGTGGTGATGGGAACAAGACATCTGAAGAACTGAATGCCCTTAAAAGCCACCACCTAGCAAGTTATTATATGAAACTGTTATGAATGTTACCTGAGGCTGAAAACATTATTTTACAATAGAACTGGCCTAAAATGTATTTTTCAAAATACATTCATGGTAGAGAGGTACGTATAGGTTCTGTGGTCATTTTGGATAGCAAAGGAAATTACATTTGTGTTGCAGACATCAACCACCACTGTGAATAAATCTGAATGTGTACGTTTCTCTATAATGCATCATTTAACATCAGTCTCAGAATGTCTTGTTTACAACTTAGTGAATTGCATTATGAATACATCCTGAAAAAACTGGTGGAATTCCCTGGTATGGATTACATCCATACTATCAATTAGGTATTGCATCAAATCCTAATATCAAACTCTGATGTTACGCAGGTATCCACCAATACTGATATGGATCCTGTATTTTTGTGCATACTCATTTCCTCCAGAAATTTAAGTCAGCCAATAGAAAGTCTTTGGAAATATGTTTCAAAACTGCAATGGTGCAATTTTCGATATTTAATATCTTAATGCAAAGCACATTACGAAACTGATAACCAAATCTGTGCTTCATCTATAGACATTTGGTTCAAAAGTACTGAACTCGTCCTTTTGAAATACAACACTCATTACTTAAAAAACAAAGTGGTTTGATTACAAGTTCAAAAAAATATTCAATGCCTCAAATAAATGTGCTGGTCCATGTCAACCTGATCCAAGGTCCCCTCTCTACGTTTTCTGTTCATGCTTCAGATGTGGTCCCTCATGTTCAACGACTGGATGCATATGCGAATCTCCATGAGGAACAGCCTGAACCGGTCGCATAAGATGGAGAACAGAATGTGTAGGCTCAGGCCTGATGGACTCTGCGGTAGCATGGTGGCTAACGTCCGATTTCATCAGCACCTCGTAGTATAACAGATAGAACACAGGTGTGACAATACCTACAACAAGCATGATGACCACTGCAGTCCACCACCTCATGCCCCAGTCAGCCCCATAGTAGGGGTCTTTCCTCGGGACCGGTCTCCGCTCTGAGTCTCCCGGCAACGGCTGCTGTGGGCTGAGGGAGGAAACCACTTCACTGAGGCTGCTCCTGGAGGGGCTGGAGGATTTGACAAGAAGTTCAATGTCCTTGTCCTTCTCCTGCAGAAAGCACTCTACGCTATCGGTGGAGGAAGTTGAGGAGGGGGAGGAGTCTGTCAAAGCTGCAGCTGGTGGGATCTCTGAGACTCTGCGAATGCCACTGGGCGAGCTGCTTTTATGGGGGGCTGTGTTGTGAGTTTCGGTGAAAGAGCTGAACCTCCTCACAGGGATCCTTATGGACCTCAAGGCAAAGAAGTCCTGCTCTGTCAGGAGATTGTTGGCCCGCTTTATGTCAGCAACCTAAGATACCCCACCCACAGCATGTCAGTTACATACCATATTATGTAGTTCATCTACACTGACAACAAGTTTTATTATTATACAGTGCATCACTGAAGGTTATCTGAATGATCCAGTTATCTATACATAAGCACTATGTAGTCTGTGAATGCAAGCTACAAAGAAAAAAAAACAGCAAACAGACAATGCATTGTTGACTTACAGAACAGAAATACTGAAGAGAAATGCTAATCAGGGTGTCCCCTTCCTTAATGTCCCTCATTACATAGACAATATCATCCGGTCGTTCTCTGGAGATGCTCCGGCGAAGCCTCTCCCGGCCTCTGGAACGAAGTTCATAGCTTTCGCTGTCCTCCTCGGAGCACTCGGTCTCTGAATTGTTCCCAAACATATATGCGTGACCTCCCGTTGCAGGCTGCACCATCGTAGCAGACTGGAAGCCATTATATTGGTTCCTTCCAGTCATTTTCTTCCTATTTGCAATAACAAACAACATATCGATACAATAAAATACACCTTATCAAGAGATAAGCTTTACAATATGTTTAATGAACTGACACTTAGAGCAGCACAACAGAACTATGAACAGCTTAAAAAGGTGAAACCAACATCCACTTTAACTTTTATGCCACTGACAGAGTCTAAGACAAGGGTGGGGAACTGAGCGTCCAGCACAATTTGGTGATTTTCTAGCAGATACTGTGCAGTGTGAGCTCCTGTAACCAAAACCAAATTCCTTGTATGTGTAAGCATACCTGGCCAATAAAGCTTGACTCGGATTCAGTAATCAACCTCTGAGTGGAATCAGGTGTGTTTGAGAAGAAACTCACCAAACTGTGCAGGAATCCGGCCCTCCAAGACCGGAGTTCCCGAACCCTCGGTCTAAGAAGAGCAGTAGGTTGGTTATAGCCTTTAGTCCATCGCCAGTGTAACGTACCTGAACGAAGCCACTGTATAATCGAAAGAGAAAATATCCACCCTGTTTTTTGACGACGCTAGCAGTAGATGCAGCATCAGTTTAAGTCGACGGGTAACATGACCAAATCGTCAAATACATCTAGGCTGACAACTGACTTAGCTAGCTAGTGGAATATGGTGAGCAAAATACAGTTAGCCTGCTAGTTAACATCGTTAACCTAGCTGATTACTCAGTTTTACGGACCAAGCTGGCTCATAAACATATCTTTAAACGATTTAAAGTTAGCTACATGACAGTTAGTTAGCTAGATCAGCTTAACGTTAGACATAACCTTTAGTCCAGAAACGACACGCAATAGCAAATAAACGAAAGTAAGTTACGCTACAGCTAATGGTGGCTAACTTTGCTAACGCTAGCTAGCTAAGGTCAACAAACTTAACGCTAATTACGTTAGCTTACCAGCTGGCTAGTAGCTACCCAAAACAAAACAACGCGTCAAAACGAGCTAACCACGCAAACACAAACAAATTAACTAGCCAGATACAGACCGTAATATCTGTATACCTACTGACAGCAACACAGGCTAGTTAACGCTAAGGATTTTGTTGACAATATCGCTGTCTGCCTAGCTAGCGTTAGCAAAGTTAACGTTATAGTCAAAGTCTGTGGCACAGCGTATCGTTACCTAACGTGCAGGCGTTTCAACTGGGTAATGGTTCAGTGAACAAGTTATTCCACATTATCACGAACTCCGAAGTAAACATCGTTCTGTTGCCAACGTCGAAAAGCAAACTGTTAACCCACCTGATGAGGCGAGTTGAATCCGCCTCTTCTCGCTAAGCCATTCTTCTCTCTTTCACTCTCACTGCCTTGAGATCAGCTACGCCACGTCAACACAGTCTCAACGTAATGACGTTGGGGCAATCGGGGGGCGTTAGAGGGTAGAGTAGCCTGAGCCCATACTCAAATGAAGAATATTGTTACTCCGGCTAAATAATGACTCAAGTAGAAGGGAAAAAAAAATAATAATAATAAATTAAATGAAACCGTACTGAAGTAACAGATTAAATTGTTTAGTTTTAATAAGGATAAAATAGTGTTAAAGCTGAAAAATAAGCATATGGGTATAGAGTCTTTGTCTCACAACACACGGCATGTAGTTCTCTGCTGTGACTGTATTTAAATACATTTTAGGCTAAAGTCTTATCTCAAAACGGTCATAAACCAGTGTCTCAGGCAGGAGGGAACACAGCATTAACCATTTTAAGTAATAGCTTTCTTTAGAATGACATCTTTTACATCAAACCACTCTGACTTGGTTTGTGTCTTAGTAATTTAGTAATGCAGAACCTGTGAAAATTTGGTGAAATTCAGCTGCAGTGGAAGATCTTAGGACATCCTGAATCTATCAGCACAGGAACGGAAGAAACTGCATGTACTTGTAGGGTGTTTGGTGCTCTTTATGAGACAGTAATGGTCTAGATTAAAAATGAAAGGGGAATTCCACTGATTTTTCAAAATTCCTGTATAATTCAGAGGTTGAGATGTAAACAAATTCATTCAGAGTAGTTTGGTCTGAAATGCTCCATTCTAGAAAAACCTACTGACTCTGATTTCTTACCAGTGGCGGTGATAGGAACCAGGGTTACGGCGCAAATATAGCCTACTATCCAAAATCAGTAGTGAACCTAGATGTGTTTTCTTTTTATATGTCATGCTTAAAATAGTGGTAAATAGTGGTAAATCCAAAAAATAAGTTTTTGTCTTACAGAATAACCATTAAACTATTTAGCCCAGGGGTGGCGAACTGCGGTCATGAAGGGCCATGTTGGTGATTTTCCTGCCTTTGACACTCTTACTAAACTTGGCAATTGGCTGTTGAGCTGAATTAAGTGTCTTTGAGTTCCCCACCCCCTGATTTAGCCTCAGGCATCAACATGTTCATCAACATTTCCTGTAATAACTTTCTGTGAACAAGCTTTTCGATAGCTGGTCCCTGTCACCACCGCTGTGAACAATTCTGACTTTTTTTTTCTACAACAGAACATTTTACATCAAACCACTCTTAACTACTGTGTTTACGTCTTAAATAGATGTGTTAAATCTTAAATACATCTGAACAATTGGTGTACTTCCCCTTTAAGAAGTTGCCCTTGTATCAGTAGATATTCAAATTTGTTTCACATGTTAGATCTGTATGAAGGCTTGTGGCTTTTGAATTGATCTCTATCTTTTGCTATTCCAGTTTTAATGCTGTAAAAGCTGCTGTCTTGTTTTTAGTACAAACTGACCCTTAAAGCACTTGATTAGACCAAACAGAGACACATGAAATTATTTATAACTTGCCAAATTCTGAGAAATCCTAATAACTCTCACACTGAATGAGACGTAACACTTTGGGTCAATTGGAGCTGAACAGTTATTTGCGTTTTATTTTATGTGAATCAACTGTAGTGGATGAAGAAACCCAGCAGGGGGCATAACTGAAACAGGCCATGTAGCTATAATCTGTCGCTCTCAGACAGGGTTTTATCTGATATCAAACTTAATACACTAGGCCCATCACAGCACATGAGTCTAGACTGAATTAAGTCGTCTGTCAAAGATTGTGGATAGATCTGTTGTGGGCAGCCTGTGAAATATCTTCTTAATGGATTTGGAGTTGAAGAGTCTGTAGTCTTATAATTAGCCTTAATTGAAGGTGGAATGGATCTCACATTATGCGTGGCATATTATGGATAGCACAATATGGACTGTGCATTATAGATTATACATAATGCATCATGCATTATGGGTTCAAATTCTCTAGCTGAAACACGTGTCAGCGCTCACGACAGTCTCAAAGGGGAATTCCACTGATTTTTCAAAATTCCTGCATAATTAAATCATCAGTATGATAACATAGTCACAGTGGTTTGATGTGAAATGCTCCATTCTGAAGAGATGAGTCAGAATAGTTTACAGTGCTGGTGATAGGAACCAGACGTCCAAAGTGTTTAAAAGAACAATACGTAATACAGACAGTAAGCATTTAAAATGGTCACTTAAAAAAAGTCCAAATTCAAAATATTGAAGAGAGTTGTCTTTACTTGCATTTTACTACATCTCTGGTCATGGAGCTTTTTGGAAGGATGCTGAGGCTTTTTAGATCAGGTAGTATCTAACAAAATGGTACTTTTGGCATCACAGGCCAAACCACAAACAGACATCCGCAGAGGAGACCATACTGGCTGTAGCATTGTTGCCGGACAGGCCAGTATTTCAACTTAGCATGTTTCCTTCATCTCTGATGACATATAGTCATTTTATGATTTAGTACAGTAAATATACTACATATTGGTTTTTTTTTACATTTTAAGTAATAGCTTTCTTTAGAATGGCATCTTTTACATCAAACCACTCTGACTTGGTTTGTGTCTTAGTAATTTAGTAATGCAGAAACTGTGAAAATTTGGTGAAATTCAGCTGCAGTGGAAGATCTTAGGACATCCTGAATCTATCAGCACAGGAACGGAAGAAACTACATGTACTTGTAGGGTGTTTGGTGCTCTTTATGAGACAGTAATGGTCTAGATTAAAAATGAAAGAGGAATTCCACTTATTTTTCACTAATTCCTGTATAATTCACAGGTTGAGATGTAAACAAATTTATTCAGAGTAGTTTGATCTGAAATGCTCCATTCTAGAAAAACCTATTGACTCTGATTTCTTACTAGCAGTGGAGAAGGGAGTTGCCTTTACTTGCATTTTTTCTACGTTTCTGGTCATGGAGCTTTTTGGAAGGATGGTGAGGCTTTTTAGGTCAGGTAGAATCAACAAAACAGTACTTTTGGCACCGCAGGTCAAACCACAAACAGACATCCGCAGAGGAGAACACAGCTGTAGCACTGTTACCGGACAAGCCAGTATTTCAACTTAGCATGTTTCCTTAATCTCTGATGACATATCATGGTCATTTTATGATTTAGTACAGCAAATATATTGCATATTGTTTCTTTAATGCCTCTAAAAGCTACCTCACAAGATGTAATTACACAAATATGCAGCCTGATGCCCAGGGGTGTCGCACTGAATGTCCATTATTAGTTCAAATTATCAACATATTTTGCATTTGTTCTACATTATTCAACTGCGCCATCATGTCTCCAAATTCACAATATATTGTGATAGCTGGGTGTGAACTGAGGGAGGCGCTGCTGCTGCTCTGATCCACCACTGCATCCGTGCGGCGCTACCAGAGATTTCCAACATAACAATGCCAGCTTAGCCAATCATAACAGACATTAAAAGTTGTAAGCCAATCATATCAGACCTCGTAAATTGTAAGGTGACCATACCAGACCTCAGGAAAAGTCTCTGGTGCTACTCTGCGAAGTAAGAGTCGCCATAAATCTCGAACATTAACTAGCTGAAGAGCCAACTATTTTAAGGATTTTACAAAACTTCTCAGATGTTTTTGTTGTCAGTAAGTTGTGTAAGTATTTCACAGTCACACCAGTATTAGCTATCAACTGTTTTTAGTATGTATAGCTAATACTGGTGTTGTGTTGATCATCATGCAATTTTATATTCCTGAATTCCTCAATCTGTAGATGGCAATTAGTTAAGGGTGGCAGCTCCGTAGGCCAGTTTTTTGCCAGTTCAAACAAGCATAAAAAAAATTAACTCACTGATCCTGGAGTTCTTGTACATCTCAGTTTAATAAAATAACATGGTACTAAACACAGGTGAGGGAGATAAAGAAGCTGAAGAAAATATGAGAAATTATAATTTTTGTGCTGTCAAATGTCACTATGAGCATGTCACATAGACTATTAGACATGTAACACTCTAGTAGGACCATCTGAGACTGTACATATCTGATCTGTATTTGAATAACATATTAAGAGAAATAAGATAGCATTGCTTGACTTTAGTATCTTTCTTTGATCTGTGATCTGTGTAGGTGGACAGATGCAGTATTTAAGTCTAAGATCTGCTAAGTACACTATAAACAGATCTTCTGTGTGCCAACTAGACTAAATAGCCATTTTTGATACATTTTACACCTATTGCTAGTCTAAAAGTTCTTGATGTGCAGACATTTTGGGGTCATTAAAAACATCCTCCAGTAGAAGCGCGGCCCCAGATCCCTCTAGTAAAGGCTTAGCCCCCTTATTCATAATTCTGACGCCCCTGCTGATGCCAGAGATTGTTTTACGATATACTGTAAAAATGTTTTGTCAGGACAACCTAAAAAATGTACCTTATGTGGTAAAAAGTATATTAGGTCGTTTTATTCAACCAAAATCAACATAATGAATGAACAATTCTTTCAAGCAAAGTCATTTTTTTTACCACATAAAGTCATTTTTAGGTTGAACTGACCATTTTTACAGCGTAGTTTTGAGAGAAGGTTTTGGTTTAAAACATATTTTTAAACTCTAAAATTCAAGGTGGAGAGGTACGAATTGAAAGGAAAACGTTTTTTCCCCCAGATTTACCAATATTTTACCATTACATATAAAACTGAGGGGTCATGTGCAGGTCAGCACATTAAACAGACTGGCTATATTTATCTATGCTGTAGATTTAAGACCCCTGGTTCCTCTCACCACGGTTAAAAAGAAAACCTACAGTCGACAATTTCACCTCAAAATACCCCAACCGACTTTGTTTACACCTAAACCATCAATTTGAGAATTTTGAGACTGGGTTGACTTCCCCTTTAATCGCTGAAGGACGTTTTCTCGCCCCAAACTTGGTCTCACGAGAGCGCCTGAGACGCAGGCCGCCTCAGGTCTTGTTTTGAGGAGCGTTGATTCAGAGCCCCTCGTGCTGAGTGGCCGAGTGAGGACGACATGTCGCTGGGGGGAGCTGTGCGCTGTCTGAGCGAGCTGTGGGGGGGTGTAATGA